TCCAATGATAATTTAAATGCTTCTTTAAAAATGGCAATATAATAATCCAAATCCAAATAATAATCATTAATTAACCCAAAAACTTCATTGTTTAAAGGTGGTTGGCTGCAACATTGCATTTGTTACTTCTAAACATGTGGCAGCATATGGTGCTACTGGTTTATTTCTAATTTTAAAGAATTCCAAATCATTTATTAATCTGTAAAATAAAAATTATTAATTATTGGTTAGAGAAAAGTTGTTAAAAAAAGAATGTGAACCATATTTTTTTACCTTGAAGAATTAAATTTAATAAAGCTAATGATTACTTCCAAATATATTTTTTTATTTGGATCTTCAAATATTTCTTTTAAATTTCTTAGGGATTTGATTTCTTCACTGACTACAATTTCTGACTCAATAAATGATTCAATTAAATGAAAGTAAGATTGAATCCATATTAAAAAATTAAACCAACTGTTCCAACGTGACTTCACTGGTACTAGTGGCAATGATGGTGATGAAATATTATATTAATATCAAATAAAATGTTCTCTCGAATGAATAAATAAATGGAATGGAATCAATGAAAAATAATTTTTTGTATATTTTTTTTTACACAATTTGTTCATTCTCCTGTGACCATTAAATATAGTGGTAATAAGAATCCCATTTAAAAAAAAGTATCCCATTTCAAAAATTACCATTTATAATATAATTAAAAGTGCAACCATATTGTTGAACTATAACTCACAGTACAACAGGGCTATGTCATAACTATGTCGGAACTGTTTATCTTTTTTTTAAGTGGTGCCAACCCGAATTAGGTAAATCAAAAAATAGTCCAGGTACAGTCAAACACTATAATTAAATTTTTGTCATAATGGATTTTTAAATTTTTGTGAAAATATTATAATTATAATCAGTAATCTTGCCACAACGGATTTTAAACAAAATTTTCTTGAAACAAGGTTTGACTGTAACCTTACTTGGTGATCATATTGCATATATGGGGCATGCTGCAACAAAACCAAACAAAGTGAACATTTGTATTACCAAAATTTCAGGGATTAAAATTAAAGATAGTAAAATGTAAAAATGTATCTGTTAACTTTTATGAATAATTTATTTTTATACGATATATAATGATATATGTAATTTATTAAATAAAATATTATAAAAATGATCTTTTGATATTTACAAACTGGTGAAGAAATCACACTTATTAAAAGGTCTAATCCTGGATGAGCACCATCATCATCGTGTAAAATTAGATTTTTGATAGTGTCTAATTTTTTGTCTCTATACATATGATAAAAATTTATATACAAACCAGGGTTGGCAAATGTGCGGTCCATTGATGGTCTATTGGTGGTCCATTGGGTCCATTAGTGTAACACTTTAACTATATTTAGTATTTTATTAATGGCAATGGACCAGTCCAAAATCCATCTGTTCTCAATGGACCAGTCAATTTGCCAACCCTGATACAAACCATTGCTTATTGCAAAAGTCGTGTGATCTCTTGATTTTTGCTCATCCAATATACAACATCCAAAATTCATCACAAGATAAAATTGTTGTGTCTCTTAAAATACATCTCCATCTCTTATTATTGGTATTGATCGATAATTGCATTTGGTTAGGCAACATTAAGTCTTTACAAACATTACCCCTATAAGTGTTCTCTAAAATAATTTGTAAATATATAAATGAAATGAGTGAAGGTATTTTTTCCTTTTTTTACATGATTTGTTCATTACCTATATTCTTTAGTCTTAATTTTTGCTTTAAGATGGCAACTTCTTTTTCTAATTCTTTTATCCTCCGTTCCTAAAAGAATTGTTGTGGAGAATAATTGTGTAAAAAAAATGTTTTGTTTTTATATTTAATAATGTTTGCACTAAATATTAATAATTGGAATATATACTTTTATGTCATTGTTTTCTTTATTCTTTCCATTCACACTAACACTAAGTAAACAAAAAAAGATAAAGTTATATATAAATCAAAAGTTTAAATAACAATGATTGCTACTACCATTCATTTTTTTTAAATAAAATTAGAGTGACGATGAGTGGTGATAACCACCATTCTTTTGATAAACATTTTGTTGTTTTTTTTTTCCAATCTTTTTTTTATTAGGCATTTTTGTAGATGAGTTAGTTGAAGAGAATCCTTTTTTTTTTGAAAAGAAAAATTTGTTATTAAAAAAAAAAACTTGAGAATAAAATTATTATTATTGGTACTTGGTGTTGTACAAAGGGGGGTTTTTTTTTGAAAAACAATTTATTTTTCAATGACAAAGCATGAGTGATGTTATTGGTTCTACTAAAGAAGAAGTATTAATAACTAACCAGAGGTACTATTTTTTATTTGTATTGATATAATGTGGTGTCTTTTACTTTATATAAATACTATAATTGGAATCAAAATGCAGTGCAGATCTTGCTGGGTAATTATAAGAACCTCATCAAGATGGTAAACAATTGGTATTTTGCTTTTGGTAATCAATATTAATAATAATATTAATATTAAAATATATAATTACAAGAAGATGCCAAGACAGCACACTGTTGAAAAAGAAACATGTCGATATGCAATGTTTGATTATCGGAAATTAGCAGGCATTAAATCACACACACTACCTTGAACACTTACAGTCATTCACACATCTTCCTTGTGTACATAAGGCTAATCTCACCTGCATCCCCCGATGGATATGATATGCAATTAAATTTCAGGGGAGGAGCATGTGGCTCTGGAATTTATTAAAGCTTCATCAATTGTCAAGGACACTTTCACTAATCTTCCCTCACAGCACCCAGACCAGATAAGGCTGCTGCCATGTTAGCCAAAAAGTTTCCTTCAACAATCTTACCTTTAGGATGGCTCTGCAACCAAGAAGTCACAACCCTGGAGGAATATTAAGAGAATCTGCAGCTTGTTTCAAGCACAAGAGGTTGCAATTCAGAGTGGGGTTTGTGACTCTGAAATTGCATTTGGGCTCTGGTGTTAAGAGGAAAGTTGTAAAATAAATGGTTCAGATATTTTTTTGGTATGTTATATGAATTATCATTCCCAAATTTTCTGTTTCTCTTTAATTTTTATTTGACCAATTGAATTTGTTATTTAAACAGGGGTAAGGTTGTTGATGAGTAGGTGTACCACCAACAAAACAGCAACCCAGGACTCAAAACTCTGAATCCAAAACAGCAACCTCTCAGGTTGCAACCTTCTGAGTTGGAGAATTTTGAACCAGTTGCAGGCACAAACTTTATCCTAGAGAGGGTGATAACACAAAGCAATCATCACACAAACACCAGATATCAGTGATCAATGTCCATAAGTCTGATATGAGGGGAAGACAAGGAAAAGTTTTGTCCAAAGCCTACCAACATGTTCAAGTTCATTTCACCTGTGGGAAAAAAATTCCATGGTGCTGATTGTGATTAAATGCACAGTCTTGCATGTCTGTGATAGGAAATTTCAATTAAATCTGACACCTGCAATCAACAATCAAAGAAATGATATTTATTTTCCTTTTAAAGATTTTTGCTTTTTATTAGGTAATAATGCATCATCATGATGCTTTCTTTTTCCAACACTTGTTATTTCTCTTTCTTGGTAAATTTCATAGGTAATCCTTTCTTTTTTTAGATAAGCTTCCAATGTTTGAGTATCATTTATTTTGAAAATGTAAGGAGCAATTTTTTCACCTTGCTCTTTCTTCAAAATACTTCTAATGGTGCTGTAATTTTTGGGCTCCATAGTAGATCTGATATAAATGAGTTTCATATTAACTATTTTTATATAGAGGTAATTCTATATACTAAGAGGATAACAAATGGAAGATTTTAATAACCACATTACTAAATTTTTGATCCCTGAAATCTTTGGTAATACCAATGTTCACTTTGTCTGGTTTTGTTGCAGCATGCCCCATATGGCACTTGCATAATGTCACATGACATATGCTGTAGTAGTGTCATAATCTCAGGTGTTCATATGTTTGCACCCTTAAGTAAAGTAATGTGAAGGAAAATACTTGTCAAGTATGTTGAATTAATAAATCAAGAAAATTGAGAAGGTTGTAAGAAGCTGCATCAAAAAATAAAAGTTGGTGGTAGTTATTATATGACTTAGATTTATAATCCTAATCATAAAAATACAAGTTTTTTTATTCTTTGCTATCAAACCTTTACCAGATATAAATAATTCATTCACTATCTAACAATTTTACTATTACTCCCACAATCAGCACCACTTCTACATCTACTACTACACCTACTATATACTACTTCTATTTTTACCATTAATCAAATTCAATTAATGAAATTTAATAATTCAACTCAAATTCTCAAAGATATAAAAGTTAGGAAATAAGTGCATCATAATAATACAGTCAGGGTTTTTACCATAGATGGAAATACTAAATACTGTAATGATCGACTCTTATGAAAAATTCTAGAAGAAATTCTGATTGGCTAAATTCAATCAGGGATAATACCCTGTAATGATCGACGTTATGAAAAGAAATTCTGATTGGCTAAATTCTGTGCAGATCTTTTCGTTAATAATCTTTAATGAAAAAGGAAACAAGAAAAACATGGCGAAAGCTTTATTGATTGGTCATATAATTTCCATAAAATAATTAACTTGCAGAAATTATCAAGAAAGATTATTCCTCACATTCTAAATTGTAATATTTCTTTAATTGTGAATTCAAATCATTCTCAAAAGAAAGGTTGTTTATCTTTAATTTACATTTAAGAAATTGGAGAGCTAGATAATTGAATCTTTAACATGTATAAATAACATTATAATTTCCTTAACTTAAAAAACTAGTTGGAAAAACTCATAATAGTTAGTTAATAATTAATAAAATAATAAATAAAAACACCTTGAATTATATATTTCGTAATGATAATAAACTTATCTCTAACAATGAATTCATGCTAATTCCATGCATAATAATTTCCTCTTATTTATATTTGTCTCTATTTTTTATTTAATAAATTTGGTTTAGTGAAGACATACCTGACTTGAGAGTAAAGCGTAATAATATTCATGGAAATTGTTGTTATGTGTATTAGTATAAATATTAAATAAATGCATCATCGAAACTTAGATATGATCTCATAGATTTCTTCCCTTTCACCTTGCCCATTAAATATAAACCCTAATAATTCATAAAACAATAAATATATAAATTTAATAATTTAATGTATGTATAAATTTAATAAATTTAATATATATGTATAAATTTAATAAATTTAATATATATATATATATATATATATATATAAATATTATTTTGAGTAATCCTTACATGTAAAGCGGAATTATGTATTTCATTGATAGGTAACTGTCTGAACTAGAAGTATATTCTATAAGTTTTATTCTATATATTCCTATGTTACTATTAATAAGAAATTAATTA